ATCTGTCAAATAAACCAAAGAAGAATATACTACGCACCAGTGAACAAGGATTTATGGATATGGGGTTCGACTGAGTATCTGTGAGCTAGAAAGGCAAAACACGCGCGCGACCGACCGATGATGCGCGTTGATTTGTCGTCGACCAATCCACTTGTGCGAGCGGCTTGAACACACATGGGCGGGAGTTCGATCGGTAAGGAGTCGGATAGAGCGCGCAGGGTTGGGTGAATATTGCAGTGGATTGGTACATCAAGGGAGTACCATGTTGGTGCCAATCTGTGTCCTACACTGCATCATCCAAGGCTACCTTCCTGTCTGATCATGGTGCTAGTCAGACTCTGCTCACAGTCGCATTGTGAGCTGCATTGAGACAGAATGTTTGTTAGAAGCTAAGACATGGAACATGCTCAGTGTGTGAAGACAATGACTAGTTATTATTATACCTAAGACACGAAACATGCTGAAGGAAGTATTGTAAGAGATGGTGGGATGACAAGAGACAGAAACAATACCTCAGTGTTTGAAGACAACAACTGAGGTATGAACGAACAAGGCAGTGCATATTATATATGTGAACACATGTGATCATTAGAAAGGGAAATTGTACTATACAATGACGATGTAACACACCCCCACAACATGACAATGTTGAAACTATCGAGAGACAAGAGAGAGAGAAGACCAACAACAAAGGAACAACAGATGAGGCAAGCATTTGGTGAAAATATTGGCGACATTCTTGTGAGTAGACAACCATTTTGGCTTGAAGGTCCTGGCATCAGCAAACCAGGGGGTACTTGTACTAGGTTGCACAAGACTGTACAAACTTCACAGGCACACAAGGAAGTCCCCTCTTTACAGTCCTGTTACAAGGTACTACAAGGTATCACAATCTGTACAAGCATTATGACCCATACAAGCATCACAATACAGACAAACAGAACACAGTGTGCAGACAAGACACACTTTGCAGACAAGACATGCTTAGGCAAATGCATGGGTTTGGGGTACAGGTATGGGTCTGGTGTTGGTGTACCCATACCACTACCCGTACCCTTGGCACAGGTTTCATAAGATATGGCCTAGCAACTGTCTGTCAAATAAATTTCAGAGGTACTACACATGTCAATGCAAACTCTAATGTACAATTTGGCAAGGCCTGTCAATATTTTACAAGTCCACACTAGCAAAAATCACCCAACTCTTGCTGTGACCATGTTTGAGTCTAATACTTCCAAGCAAGTACATCAGAAAAACAACAGAATTCTTATTTGCACTTTGCCAACTTAGTCCACCTTTCTCCCATGATCATTCTGGCCAAGGGGATTAAGGTTGTACTAAGTTGACCTTGGAAAAGTTGGTCGTGTTATCACAAGTGCCACCAAGGCAAAAAATCAGATTCAGGCGTGGAAAGGCCAGAAAAGCGATCAAAGTGTTTCAAAGGGGCATCATCATGCATTAAGTATGGACCAATAACTGAAGTAAGTCAAGTAAAAGATAATGCGAGTCTGGCTAATAAGCGATTTCAAATGTGTGATGGTCAGCATATTAGTTTACATAGTAACATTGGAAAGAGTCTTAGGATTGATGAAACTTGAAGTCATGAGAGACAAAGTGTGTGCCATAGACAGGAATTAAATGTGACATGCAAAAGATAGCGTCAACGTGGATGATGGATATATTGGGGGAGTGGTTGTGAGTGAAACCTGGGTGAACAACCCACATGCCAGTGTCTTTATCAGTGGAGTTGCCAACAGTGTCAAACCAACAGGCCACAGTGCAAGGATAAGTAGTCCCTCTGAAAGTAAATGAAAAGAAACAAAGAACACATGCAACATTGAGCCCTTGCATCCCCTCCATGTCTGGATTTGTGTTGACAAATGCACAGTTGTAGTGAGCAGCCTCATTCCACCAAAGAGAGCATGCATGAATGTATTTGGTATGCATCCCACCAATCCCACTAATATCACTGGGTGTGTAGAATCTGAATGACACTGAATTGAAGACAGAAATTCGGCCTTGGTAGCCAGGGAACTAGAACTCGGGGATGTTGGAAAGGTCTCGAGGGTCATCAGGGTGCAGTTGTTTAAAAAGAAATTGATGGAGGTGGTCAGACAAATGAGGTATGTTGAGTTCTGTTGCAAGTGCAGGAATTGTCTTCGCCCTTTTTCATTCTAAGAATTTGTAAAGATGAAAAAAAAGATTTTATTGAAAAAAAAACTGTACAAGGTGTTTGAGCCAACAGTACATGGGCTTGAATGAGCATTAGGCCATTGTCGACTTCGCCGTTCTCATCACCCGGCTCTAACTCATCCTCATTTCTATCCTGTGTGCCATCATTTGGACCAGCATGCACTTTAACCTGAGGTATATTAGTACCTGTAGTACCATGGTTCTCACTGTCAGCATCAATAAAAAGTTGTTCTGTCAAAGGAGGTTAGTTGAGAAATTTCAAATCAGCAAGTAATCAGACATATGAAGCGCTTCCAAGACCATAGACAAAACTGTACCATTCATCATCCCTCGACTTGTGAAATCAGTGTGCATAGCAGTGAGGTTATCCAGCCACTGGTTAGTTCTTAGCATTTGGCCGAGTGCATTAAAGTGACTTAAGCACTGCCAAGGTTTCTTTACTGCCTTGATATGCTTGCTTTCTGTGATTGATGAGCACAGTCCATTTGATGTGCTGAAAAGCTGTATAAGATGGGGGTAATGCAACAGAGAGTGTTGTTGGGGTAAGGAAAAGGTGGCAACAATGGGCATCAGCATCACAGGCTTGATTGAAGGCTCCATGATATTGATGGAATCTTGCAAGTGCATCTTCAATTTGCACAAGGGTTGTTTGACTAATGATATTGCAGAACACACAATAACAGAACTCTAACAAAGCATGAAATGCTTGCACAATATCTGCTGGGACATGGCCCTCAATTTCAGGCAAATATACCTGATGTACATTGGTATAAAGATGTAAGAATTAAGTGAAAATGAACCTTCATAAGGGCTTTCGAATCATCACCTGTCCATTGTTTGAAGCCCCACCCCTTGGGGAAACATTGTAAGCCCAAGAAAGATGAGACAGTAGCAATTCTGAGATTGAGTTAGAAATGAGTCTCATAGCAAAAATTACATTACAGCGCACCTTCGGTCAATGTCATCCATACGACGCTCAGCTTCACATTTCCCATAAGTATCTTCCAGATATTTTTCCACCCAAGTGACGAGATGATCCTTGAAGGCCCCCTTGATGAGCTGATTTATATCAGCACAGGCATTTGTGAAAGGCTAGAGAATGATATACATACTACTAAGTATAAGCACAACAACGAGAAAATGGACTCACAATGAGATCACCCACAATCCCGTAGTCATCCCATAATTCTCCCAATATCCCTTCCTCAACCAGTGCATCAGTGTGTTCCTGGCAGTGGTCCAGTGCCTCATGATCAAGGTCATGGTGATTGTCATATACCAGATCTGACCGCTCTGACAATATTGATATCTGCTCTGCTCGACCCTATACCTCTTCCGCTTTTCTGTCACCTCCACTCCATCCACCCTCCACTTGATCCAGTCAGCTTCCACATCCACTCCTGCAGTACCACTCAACCGCCTCATCAGTTACTTTCATATTGTTTCCATTCAACTGGAACACCTTTCCCCATTTAGGTATATACTTTCCCCTTCAACACATAAACCTTGCTTCCCGGATCACCAGTATTTCCTATAACTGCTTGATTACTGATCCATTGTGTACATATTGATATCCATTCCAACTTATGTCTTCACCTGTGGTAATACTTACAAATTGTATACTCAACACATAGCCTCATACTATGGACTACTGATCACTGCCTTCCTACTTAGAAGTATATAAAACATATCATGTACTTAGCTATTGCCCCAGTCTTAATATTACTTGTCTTCCCACAGTCTCTGCTAGTGGGAATTCTCCATAGGACTTTGCTCTCCAGACACAAGATTATCTTGTTGTCACCTCTGATCCTCTGCTCCAACTTAGAGCTGTGCTCTAAGTATTCACTCTTACCTCTCTGACCTAATCAACCAATCCCCTTACTCCCCTCCATCTCAACACACTTCCCCCGCTCCACCTGCTCTACTTCTAGTCAGTCCACTACTAGTAGCCTTTACCTCCTGACCTGCAAAGTGGACCAAAGAAGTCTGCCCGTCCTAATGTTGGACATCGTTGGTACTGCTCCAAATTTGGGGCACGTACTCAGCTAAGGGCGCAGTGCAAGAGCTGAAGCCAAGCCCTGACCCCTTCACTTCTCCATCTGAGCATGGTACCTAACAGCAATGTGCTAAACACCTTCATACAAGTCAGCAACTTAGTTCATAACACTTGAGAATAATGCCTCACCTCAGACACCAGCCTCTGATAATGCAAGCTAACAGAACCTGTTCCTCATAGTCTGCAATGTAAGCCCCAAGTCCATATATAACACAGAAAAAATGGCCATTTCCAAAGTGTGCTACTTCAAGTGTGGTCAACCCAGGCTTGAGCATCTGAAGAATTCTGGCAAGTGAAGAATGAAAAAGTTGATGGTGGAATTTTCAGAACCTTGGATCAGCAGCAAATTGGTGTTTGGCTGTGGTAGGAAACACATTAGCCCAAATGAAAAGCATCAAAACAATAGAATTACATACTTTTTGCAATTGCAAGGAATCCTACAATGGTAACTGCATCTCAATGTGCATGACAGACATTATTTCAAACATTACTGATAGAAACATAGAGAGGATAGTATTCATTGTTTCCAGTTTCAACTGAAACAGTAGTCTTATTGCTCCCTAGAATCACCGGCATAAATGTTGCACCAACTGCCTCTGAATATTTTGAAATTTCATCCTGTGCACAATATATCAGTTAATATACTTCAAAATGAGAAGTGATGTATTGCTTGATCCCATGCCCAATCACCTGACATAAAATCCTTCTATTGATGCTCATTATTTGATCATGCGTACTCACAATACAGTCAATAATCGATCTCATCAGCATAGGTTGGATTTGCTAGCATGTTGCAGACAACCTCCCATGGATCTCGGAACCAGACATCAAATGAATTGTTCATCCATGATAGGATATTGACATCAGGTTTCTCACCTGAGTATTGAACCTGGAAATTTTCCCACTTGACCTCTCCAAGAGCTGAGCTGTCGATAGTGCAATATAAGTCCTGATGGTCAGCAAAAGGAGGTTGGTCATTGTGCTTCACAAGCATTGCTGCCCAGAGATTCAGTAAACGGTTGATTTTGGTGGCAGACATCTGATTGTCAATATACAGCAATTCTGCCATTTCAAATTCAACACAATCATGAAAAGGTGTCCAATCATCAGCAGGGTAGTTGACAGGTGGAGGTGGTGGAGTGCCTGGTGGGAGAAACACATCATTCTCATCGCAAGGCCGACCTATAGAGAGGAAAAAATGACATCATGAAGAAATTACAAAGGCACCTTACTCACCATCATGATCCTTGTGGTAATTTCAATATAATTGATTGCCTGGTCCATAAAATTGTGTCTCAACATCTGGTGGGGATGATACATGAGGAGCATCAAACTGGCCCACACCACCATAGCCTGGAGGTGAAGGTGGCAGGTGAGCATGGCCTGCATCATTCAGGAGGGGTACAGATGGTGGGCAAGGAGTAGCTAGATGAGCCACTGGTGGTACCACAAATGTGGGATGTGCTGAAAGTTTGTGTCTCGTCCTTCCAGCAGGTGTTTTGAAGTACCACTCACAGTTTGGATAGCTACGAGGAAGCTGCAGGGCATTGTGATCATGTTGTAGTGGCATAAAGCAAACAAAGAGTAGCATGAAGACAAAAAAAAGATGATATACTGTTGGTGCATTTGATGAGTGATAGAATATGGCAAAGTATTTTGAGGTGCCAGCACAAAGAAGTTTCTGTGAAATTCAAGTGTTTATTTGGTTGACATTTACCAAGTCTTAAATTCATAAAATTTCGACTAACTAACCTGGTTTTCCCCTGTCACTGTTGCAAAGTTCTAACATACTTCTTCTGTCTCACTCAATGGCCATCACTACCTGGGCAAAAAATGTCAATGTGCATCCTGGTCTTTCTGACATCAATGCAAAGAAAAAACAATGTACCAAAGCTGAGAAGGCTGCTGATGACAAACACCACCATGAAGAACTTGAAGCCAAGGAAGCAGCTGCCATACAAGGCATTGAGTGCCTTGCCAAGATCCAAGCCAATATGAAAATATCGCAAGCAAGTGCGGCTGCAAAGAAGCCAAGAGCAGTTAGGCCATGCCCAGTTGCAGTAAAGAAGAAGGAAGGTGGACCAGTGGGTGGGCTTGATACTGAAGGGCAGGCTGATAATGGGTCAGGAGAGGGAGCACTTACCATGGAGATGGAAGGAGGTTATAAAAACATCAAAAATATAGCCAGGGCTTCCAAGCAATCACTGAAGGATGCTATTGATGCAGCCCATCTGAATCTGACAAGGGAAAATCATCTTCCGGCACATGCTACAGATGGGAAAGAAAGATCCTTGCCAAAAATGTAAGTCCTCCTTTACTTCACCATCATGTTGCTGCTTTCTGAATCGACTCTTTTCTTCCTTAATTTGACTTCAGAGTTTAGGTTGACTGTGAAATCATCATTCAGTGGATGCATCAAGGCCTGGGCTTCAAATGTACCAAATTCTTCAAGTAAACAAGGCTCCCAATCAAACACAGGTTCACAGCTAGCTTCTGTCCTCCCTTCAACCATATTTTCTAGGTCCACAGCAACAACAGCTTCCAAGGCCACTATGGTAATATCTCAGGTCCCTCCAAAACCAACCCCTAATGAAGTTCCTGTGGCTGAAGATGCTCTGGTTGGTGGATTTGATGATGCTGACAAGATTTATGAATCACAGGAACATGATGCTGTATTTCAGGTGTCAACATGGGGAAGGGTGCCACTCAAGGTGTGTCACACTAGTTTTTTTTAAAAGATTTGATATTCATTTCAACAGTCCATCATTCAGATGATGGACAGTATCAAAGAGAGTCCCCCACCTCCAACACAGCCCAGAAATCCAGCATGCATGGTGCACCTGTGGAGATTGCCCAGTGAAGACTCAGTTTTGCTTGTAGAAGATTCAAAGGTGTATGACATAACCAATGACTCAGCCGATTTTGATATGGATGACTCTTTTACATTGGTAAAGCCTGTTGTCAAGCAAGAACCAAAAGTTAATATGCAGATCATGGTAGGGCTAGGTGCAAAGAAGGGATCATGCACAACATCCTCGGTATTTATATATATATTTGCTTTGTCTGAAGCTGTATTACTAATGTTCACCTATAGACTTTTGTCACAATGACTGACACTAAAGCACCTCCTTCGAACAAGGTAAAAATTGAGCAAGCGGATGAGCATGATATTTCCTCAACTGCCAAGGCTAAGGACAGCAGCACTTGGGCTGAAACCTTCAAGGCTCAGTCAGCATACCACAATGCTGACCTGCCTCCTCCTTGTCAAGATGGTCAATGCTGGTTGAAGATGTTCCTTCCTACCATATTCCTATGGGCAGGGTGTCAGCCTAATATTTGGTCCATTAGCAATGAATTTCTGTCACTCACTATCTCAGCTATATTCAAGGTTGTCTATCCTGAAGTTCAGTACGCCCCCACAATTCAAGGTGCTGTTATTGGAGTTGTAAGTGCCCTTTTATTGCTGCTTTCATGCTTCTCACTATCAGTTATATTTTAGACAAACCAGTGTCTCTCAGAATGGGGTAGCAACTTTGGCTCCACCACAATCGCGATCATCATTGACTTTATGTCCCACAATGAAGATACTGATGTGATGGAGCTTGTGGGGTATCTCCTCACTGATTATGCTTTCCTTTATGAGGATCCGGATACATTGGATAAGGGAACAACTTATCGCTCTCCCTTCATGCCACAACTCATTGGTACTGCTCATCTCCAGGCCACCATTGGCCATGCAGATGTTCCAGAACTCAAGACTGGCACTCTTGCCAAAAATGGCATTGTGGGTGTTATCGCAATCTCTGTGGCAGCAGTATGCAGTCTTCTTTTGTAGACTTGTACTGATTTGTTGTAATGCTACAGTTAGAACATGCTTTGATGCTCATCAAAATAGGCTGTATAAATATTGAAGATGTGCTTGCAGCAGGGCCTGCACAATGCAGATTCATGGTGAAGACTCCCAAGGTCCTGAACAAGGCAACCAGGAAGAAAACTTGGACTGCAAATGCTTTCTCTGTCAACAACTGGGGCTCTAAAACATTAGCATTCTCAAAGTCAGCTTGGGCGAAAGGTGATGAGGCGATGAAGAGTATTGTCTCAATGGCTTGAAAGGTCCTCAAGAAGTTGAAGTCTGGACTTGAGAGCTTCCTCGACAATAATAAGTCTGATGATGATGACCTGCATGCCCTTCTCTGGTATGTGAAATTAAAATTGTTAGCTTGAAAGTCCTCCATTCATATTTCCTTCAATAGAGACATCTTTATCTATCACTGCCTTTGTACTCCATTCCATCTTGTATGCCTTGCTTGCTTTTCGGTGATTTTTTTCTTGCAGTATACCAGTTTTCACATCATTTTTCCCACTTTCCATCACTTTTCCATACTTCCACATCCACTCATATTTGCATGGCTTTTGACATCCCTCATACTTTGTCAGACTTAATCACACTTTCAGTACACATTTTTACACCTTTATCTCACTTTTATAGACAGCACAGTGCTTTCCAATATGCCATTTCCATTCCTCACAAGTCCAAAAAATGAGTGAGAAAGTCCATATAAGTTGAAAAACAGAGCACAAGTGGTCTTTTTTCAACTTTTAGTTCTGTTCTCTTAATTCCCACTTGGTTTCTCTTGTGGCTCTAATAAGTTATCATTAAGTGACATTAAGAGACCTGGTGTTTTGCTGATGTACCCAAGATCTCTGCCAAAGCTAAAGCTGCACTTGAAGACACATTGAAGAAACGAAAAGCTGATGGACTCAGTGTAGTGTGAAGACACCACTAAAAAAGGCCAAAGCTAGCTGACCCACTGGAGGCACTCTTACTAGCGAGGAGAGGGTACCCAATACAGTTGTTGCAACATTTCCAGCAGGTAACTCTGTGATGGCACCACCACCAGCTACACCAAGTGTCCACACAGAGGAGGAAGGTACCTTGCACGATGGTGTTGAACTTCTGCCAACTGACTCAGAGGCGACAGAAGAAAGTGTGAAGGATGGACTAAGTAAGTTTTTAAACCTAGAACATCACATAAACTCAATGAAAACCAACAGAGCGGCTCATGAAAGACTGGAACTTACCAGGACATGCCTTCTTTGATATGGTTCCCAAGATCATTGAGCAGGGTGGGTGACATGCACATGAATTCAAGTGCCTGGCCAGATGTTGCAAAACCACAGTGAGGTGTTACCTTGATAAAGGTGATGCTCACTCAACCAGAAATATGCACAAACATACACACTTGTGTTGGGGAGATGATATTCTGCAAGCCATCAATCAAGCAAGGGATGCTGATGAGGTCTGGAAAAAGATTGTTGGCAGTGTGCTGCAAAATGGTTCAATCATGGCATAATTTGAAAGAAAGGGTAAAGGAAAAGTCACATACTCCCACTGTCAACATACACACACTGAAACAAAGTATGGCACCTTTGATATTGTCTTGACGAAGATCTGACATGCTTGACAGAGCTGAGATTGTTTGTTGGGTGGTGGGAAGCCTGTGTCCATTCAAAATAGTGCAAGATAGAGGTTTTCAGTCATTAATGAAAACAGGATGACCAGAATATTACTTACCATCCCCGTCAACTGTCTCATGAGATGTTCAACTTGTGTTTGCACAGACTTGTCAGTGCATTGCTAAAATGACAAAGGTAAGCTTCATAACATTACTATTATAATAATTCAGCAACCAACTACACACTTACCAGAAGTACAAAGGGAAAATCAACTTCACCACTGATGGTTGGACCTCTCTGAACCATAGGGCCTTTGTAGCCATATTGGCACAACTCAAGTACAATGGAGAACTGCTATGCTTACTGTTAGACATTGTTGAAGTTGTGAAGGTAAAAGTCACTTACTATTGTGGCACCAACATCACAGTAACAGCTGATATTGTAATACTAGCCTCATACCAGTGTAGAGCTTGCCAGCATGTTTCAGAATGTCCTGGAAGAATTTGGAGTAGAACAGAAGGTAAGAGAAAAAAAGAAAACCCCTGAATTGTGACTTACAAGCATATAGACTCTTTGTATCACCTGTAACAATGCATTGAACAATGACACTATGATTGATGAACTTGCTGTAGATCTTTTATAGTTTGGAGGATGAGCAACACATACTCAGTGCTTCTTGCATACTGTCAACCTTGTAGTGAAGGCAGTTATCCATGAGGTTGACATGAAAATGAAAAGAAATTCAGGAGATGAAGTTACCACACTGACAGCAGAGGAGATTCGGTTGAAGAAACAACTTGAAGAGCTGAGTTAAAACATTGAAGTTGAAGATTATGCAACAACCACAGACATCTGAGTGTCACGAATTCCTAACACGAATCATTTTTCATTCCTCGGTTTTCCTTCGGCTACTGCCCGTACCCGAACCGGTCACGTGACACTTTCACCACTTCACATTTCATCAGTCACATCTCCGATCGGATCCCCTACGCCCAGGGCTAAAACCATATGTCTTCCTATCACTTAATCTCCGTCTCTGACATCATTGCTTATATATCACGATGTCATACTACGTCATGCGCAGTATCGTACAATTCTTTCTCATTGGCTGATTATTTACAGACTCAGATATCTCCAACTCAATGTTATGTATAGGTAGGGTAGTTAGCGTAGTTTCTCTTTAGACTTAACCTCTTCATTCCTACCCAGTGTAGACTTAGACGTTTACCTCTCAATCTATCTGATTCTCTCATCTTTGACGAGTCCTAGTGGTTGTGTGATACCTTTTGCCATTAGGTGAAACATTGATCATAACATTAGGTTAAGTCTATCTTACCACTCCGACTCAAACTTTGTCTTGGACGCCTCGTCCTCAATAAACTTCACCCGTGCTATTCTGCTGAGAGTACTCTCGTGGATTAGTTTTTCAAAATCATCTTTCCCAGACGCGCACTATACCATTTTCTTTTACGTTAGTCTTTTGTAGAAGTAGACCAGGCCCTTGCCCTATGCGAGCCGCCAGTCTATAAGGAGCAGTGACACTTAGGTCCTGTTTCCACACGCCTGCAGTTAGGTCCAAAACCCTACCGACTGCACGCTACCTACTTTTCTTTTGTACTATAAAGAACGGCACTCGCAGGTCTTACAACCCTAGTTACATTACCATAGGAGGTTGTGGGTACTAAGAAGACCCAAACTTCACCGCATCGTTCCCGAACTCCTCTCGAGTTCTACTTAGGTTGACGAACCGCTACACGCACTGTATTCGCACCTATAGTCATCATAGTTCCCCCTTGGAGATCCCGTCTTGTCAGAGACCGCGCCTTACAAGTTCACGACAACGATACCTGTCGGAAAAACAACTGTCCTTTCCTTCATGTCTGAGCTAGCAGAGAGGCTGAGGGCAGCAGAGCAAACGATCACGGCTTTGCAAGCCTTTCGTATGACAACGCCAACAACACAGGAGTTTACCTCTGGAGTTTCAAACTCTGATCTCAAGATGGCCAAACCTACAGAGTTCATGGGAGACAAGAACTCCATCGACGTTGACACATTCCTCTTCCAACTCGACCTCTACCTCACATCCTATCCCACCGCCTCTGAGCTCCAGAAGAGTTCCTGTCTTATTTCTTTCTGCAAGGGCAATGCAGCGAAATGGGGAGAAAGTGTGTCCAAGGTTTCCTTAAGTGGACGACTTGGGTCATACGACCAGTTGAAGAACGATATGCAAGCCATGTGGGGCGTCATCAACAAGGAAGAGAAGATTGCTAGGGAGATAGATCATCTCCAGCAAGGAAACCGCAGCATCGCGGAATTCGTCTCTCTCTTCAGACAGAAGATCGCCCACTGCTGCTTCTCGGACTACGAACTCATGTGCAAGTTCCATCTCGCATTATCCCAACAGATCAGGGATCAGTTGGCCCACGTAAACCCTAGGGACAAGAGCACCCTAGAGGGAATGATTTTGCATGCTCTCATCATCGGAACGAACTTTGAGGAACTGGACGATGAGAAAAAGAAAACCTGGCAACCACCACGTCGCCCATGGGTTGAAAGAGGCCCTCTCAAACCAGTTTCTCAAGGAGGAGATGCAATGGACGTAGATGCATCAAAGACACGAGGTGGACCCCAACCTCAAGGCAAATCGGGAGACACTTTCAAGTGTTATCGTTGTGGAAAACCTGGGCACATGGCCCGTAATTGCACTGGACAGCCAATGGATATCAAAGGCAAGAGACCGGCTATCAAAGCAGTCAAGGAAGAGGAGGAGAAACCAGCGGCGAAGCCCATCACGCTGGAAGATATCCAACGCATCGTGAACGAGAGGATTTTCCTAACCTCTTCACCTGAAGCCCTCAAGAAACGGGGTTTTTAGATAGGTCGAAGTTGACTGCGAACTTAGACCAGAACAATCATTTTTCTATCCTTAGTGACTCGGCAATCATGTTTACGGAAGTATTTGAAGTTTGTTCTGGGAATAAACGAGATCATTTTTACTTGCCAATCACGTTGAAAGGAAAAAACAAAAAAGCAGAATTGGAAGCTCTAGTAGACTGCGGAGTAACGAACTTATTTCTCAACCAGAAGTTCGTAGACAAGAACAAAGTCAAAACCAAGCAGTTACTGCGAGTACTGCCCGTCCGCAATATTGATGGAACTAAAAACTCCGCCGGACCAATCAAAAGCTACGCAGATTTGACTCTTGTGATAGGAGATCATGAAGAAGAAGTAGCCTTTCTGATCACAGATCTAGGAACCGATGATGTTATCATTGAAGTAGATTGGCTGCGATATCATAATCCAAACATAGATTGGAATGCGGGAAAAATGACGTTGAACCGCTGCCCAGTCAAATGCGAGGATGCCAAGGTCAAGAAGAGAAAGACCAAGGCAAAAAAGCAGAAGGATACATTACCTGCTTTATTACCCATGGAAGAAGATGACAATGAAGTCACCATGGAAACTTCGATTCCTGTAGCCAAAGTACAGCCTTCAGATTCGAGTGCTCCTAAGAAAGTAGAGATAGAGGAGATCGAAGATGAAGATTCACCACGAAACGTGTGGATCAAGTACAAAAGCTCAGTCGCCTTGGAGTTAGCTCAACAGGAGGAAAAGAAGAAGGAAAAAAAGCCCGTAGAAGAGATGGTCCCAGAATGGCTCCACGACTATCTCAAGGTCTTTTCCGAAGAAGAATCTACTAGATTCCCTGAACCCAAGAAATGGGATCACAAGGTAGACTTCAAGGATCCTAATGATCTTCCTCCAAACGCGAAAGCATATCCCCTTTCGCCTGCAGAACATGACACATGTGAGAAATGGCTAAAACAAGAATATGAATTAGGACAACGGCGAGATTCAGAATCTCCAGTGGCAGCTCCTTTCTTCTTTGTTGCCAAAAAAGACGGAAAACTTAGACCCATCATGGACTATCGGAGGTTAAATGAGAAAACCATCCGAAACGCATATCCTCTCCCCCAATCGCAAGATCTCATAGATTCTCTTACCGGTGCAAGCCTCTTTTCGAAAATGGACGTTCGATGGGGATACAATAATATTAGAATGAGAAAAGGAGATGAATGGAAGGCAGCCTTCAAAACTCCTTTCGGACACCATGAACCAGTAGTTATGTATTTCGGAATGACGAACTCTCCTGCCACTTTCCAAACCATGATGGACCAGATTTTCCAAGATCTCAAGGAAGGAAAGGTCGTTGTGGTCTATATCGACGACATCCTGGTCTTCACAAATGGCACTATAGAAGAACATAGGAAGGTGGTACGCGAAGTATTGAAAAGATTTCAGGACAATGATCTTTATCTCAAACCCGAGAAGTGTTCCTTTGAGAAGAAAGAAGTAGAGTTCCTCGGGTTGATCATTAAAGATGGACACGTCTCTATGGATCCAGTTAAGGTTAAAGGAGTACAAGAATGGCCCACTCTTACCTGTGTCAAGGACATCCAACAATTCATGGGATTCGCGAACTTTTACCGTCGTTTTATTCTCGGATTCTCGAACATTGCCAAACCCATGAATGACCTCATCAGGAAGGATGTACCATGGGAATGGACGGACAAACAGGAAAGGGCTTTCCAAACCCTTAAAGACAATTTCACATCCGCACCAGTATTAGCAATGCCAGATGCCACAAAAAAGAAAAGAATCGAAACAGATGCATCTGACTATGCTATGGGTGGCATATTGTCTCAAAAAGAAGATGATGGACTGTGGCACCCTGTTGTCTTTTTCAGTAAATCTATGCAAGACGCAGAGCGAAACTATGATATTCACGACAAAGAACTATTAGCTATTATTCGCGCTCTGGAAGAATGGAGGCATTATGTGCAAGGTGCACCAGAACCAGTGGAAATTTGGACGGACCACAAAAACCTTGAATACTTCATGACAAGCCAGAAGTTAACTCGCAGACAAGCGAGGTGGTCTTTGTTCCTTGCAGAATACGAATTCACACTGCATCACAAACCGGGGAAGGTCAACGACACTGCCGATGCTCTGTCCAGGAGGCCAGACCACAGAGGGGGGGTAGAAAACGACAATTCGGATCATGTGCTTTTGAAACCCGAGTTTTTCCAAATCAAAGCCGCAAAAAGAGGTCAAGTTCTGATACAAGGAGAGCAAATGTTACTTAAACAAATCAGAAACTGCACAGATCTAGATCCAGAAGTCCGAAATGCTATCGAAACCCTTAAGAAGGCTCCAGTACAATTGCGAAAAGGACTAGAAGAGTGGAATACCGAAGATGGACTCATTCTTTTCAGAGGATTGGTTTACATACCCAATAACAAAGACATTCGCCGCTCGGTGCTAGAAATCTTTCACGATTCACCCGCAGCAGGACATATGGGACGTGCTAAAA